ATAGTGGGTTCAAACCTCACTGGCTGACACATACTTTCGGCCTTAGCATAGAAAATCATCGTGCACCTCGATGTGGTGTAATGGATAGCAAGCTAAATCAGTTTAGACTTATGAGTGAATTCAATTCTAACTGGGTGTCCCATACTTTCGGCCTTGTGCTTAGAAAATCAACATAAAAGGAAATCATTGAACCTGAATGATTCTTCAGAGAAGAATAATCAGAAATAAGTTGAGGCGTAGAGAAAATACGTAGACTGAGGCAAACCATCCTCACTGTTTTTCGTATTTCATTTGTAAGGAGGAAGTTCCCCTCGAACGACTTCTTCCCCTCGAAAATTGTTGTTCAGAAAAGGAAGTCAGAGCATTAAGACGTGGTGCAATGGCTAGCAAGTTTATCTCACTTGGCCAACTATGACTGAATAATGAGTTCGATCCTCACTGGGTAACTTATTCTTTCGGCTTTGCGTAACATCTAAGCTAAGCTTAGGAAATCACTTAGGCTCGTCGACCTGAGGTAATGGCCAGCAAGTTTGTGTCGAAACACTACTTTGTGAAATTTCCGGACTACTGGAATCTTAACCGATTTTTAACCATTATGTTTCCCACATATTCTCACAAACTACGCCTATTGCATCTTACTCTTTCCGCGTACACAGCAACCTCCGTCAGTAATCCTCCAACTTGACTGGCTCTTGGGACTTATATATGGTAGATAAAAGTGATTGATGATTCATCTTTTATTACTATAAATGTTATTTTTAGTGGTTGCACGTGTTTGAGTTGCTAACGTATTATTTTAATTTTAATATATTATTTTAATTTTAATATATTATTTTAATTTTGTTAAACAGTGACGGTAATAACAATCGGTCTATATCAAGAAGTTAGACTAAAAAATCACCGCTTCGTTTATTTTCTAAAATAACACTAGTTAATTAAAATTAAGTACCGTAATTCCCCATGTATAATACGCATTTTTTCTAAAAAAATAATAAGCAAAATAAGGGATGTGCACAGATACAAAAATTTCTTTCAAAATAGTCGTAAAATAAAATAAGAATTATCATAAAACTAAATTAGAATAATAGTATTCTATGTTTAAAACATTTTTTTAGATACGAGTAAAAAACGCCGACCGCAATGAAATTGGAGAGGTACAATTTATAGGGTTTGATTACCAAACAAGGGGTGCGTATTATGCATGAGTAGAAGTATTTTCTCACATTTTCAGCACAATTTTAGGCGTGCGTATTATGGATAAAGGCGTATTATACATGGGGAATTGTGGTAACTGAAATAGGCCATTACCCAAACCTTAAATATACAGAGTGGGACAAAAGTATGTATACACTTTACAATTAAACTTTTTACTTGCAGCAAGACAGTAAAGCCACGAAGATACAAGGTGTTACTAGGTGTGAGAGAATTAGAAAACAAAACATTATGAAGGAGGGAGAACAATAGAAGAGTAATCAGGAAGACAGTAGATAAAGATTTACATTGCATTTAATTTTTTGAAAGCATGGAGTGCGAGCAAATAAACTTTTAGCATAGAACTTACTCTAGTATTTATCCAAATCAAGCGGAAATTGATGAGAACTTGTTACTAATCTAGTACTGGGATAAAATTCATAAAGTCTAGGTACCACAGCGAAGAGGTCAGCCAAACAATTGCCATCAAAATATCTATAGAGAAAGACGCAGGGAAGCAGCTTTACGGCGGTGAGAAAGTGACTGAAGCCGAGATACCAGGTCAGAACAAATAATATTGCTGATTTTCATTTAGATTTTATCAAAAACTCTGTATAAATATAGAACGAGCACCGGAGCAAATGTGGCATTTACATTTATTTATTCCGAAACCATTTATTTAACAGTGTTTCATTTCGTAAGTGTTCGTAATATTGCCCTTCAACCTTGCAACATTCCTCGAAACTCTAGTGAAAACTGTGATACATATTGCAACTGAAATTACAATCCGCATCAATCTCAATAAGAGCTTCCAAGGTGAATTCGAGGAATCCGTCGACTCTAGGCGGGGGGGGGGGTCTCCTAATAATTTTTTACTTTAATTTGAAACCACACCCCGACACCAACAAAAGAACTTATCCATATGAATTACCAATTAATTTTATCTTATATATATATATATATATATATAAAGATAAAATTAATATATATATATATATATATATATATATATATATATATATATATATATATATATAAGATAAAATTAATTGGTAATTCATATGGATAATTCCAAAAGAGAGCTGAATGTAAGAACAGAGAAAATGGTAATTAAGAAACCGGAAACTTTTGAAAATAATATTTTATTTTACGAAAACGAGATTTCCATTTCGCTTCATCAGACCAAACGGTTTCAACAAGAAATAGATTTAAAAATATTTCAGACACAAAACAAATAACGAAAATTAACATAAATTGTGTTCTAAAATAGGTTCAGAAGATGTGGGGGAGGAAGAGGAAAGGAAGAAAG